GTCCATACGAATTACTAGTATCGTTGGTTTTATGGCGCATTTTTCGACAAGTGTTCTCTCCAATTTCCTTTCTTTTCACTCAGCAGCTGCACACACCATGTTTTTTACCAACCACGTTCACATTTTTATATCGGATATTTCTAATTAGCTTTTGCTACGACGTCCAATACGCGACATCATCAAGCATGCACAGCGGGTGGGCGACCCCGGAGGGCCCTACCGCTTCTTTCTTGCACCTCGCAGTTGCGCACCTCCAATATTGCGCTGCATTTGCATGTGCTCTGCAATATTTCTACAATGTTGCAACACATTTCAGTTGTACCTTTCGAAACATGTCTCTGAATAGTTAAAGGACGCCCTAACTTTTGCTACGACGTCCAATACTCGACCTCATCAAGCATGCACAAAGGGCGGGCGACCCCGGAGAGACCTACCGCTGAATAAATTAAAAGAACCCTGGCGTCCGGATGCTCCGCAAACCCCCTACCGCAACATTGCACGCAAAAAACAGCCATTTCATTAAGGAACCCCACCATATTTCCTACATTTTTCAAAAATACCACAGCAATGGAGAATGATAGAGAACTAGGCCCTCGAAACACCTATGCCACCTTCAAAGATTATGTTTTTGGCCAGGATTGGACCGTAACGGTTGCAAGCAACGGTCAGACACGAGTCGAAATGTAAGTTTTTTCTGAAAGACTTCAAAATTGAACTTTTGAGATTACCCTCATATCGATCAGGGTTGGAAGACGCATTATGGACATTCAAAAGTAAAGAAAATCGCAGAGTTTTCTTCCTTGAAAGGTACCGAGATAGACTTTATTTCTGTTTAAGAAAAAGAACGTAGAAAATTCTTAGGTACTATGGAAATATCGAGGAGGCGACAACGCCAATCTTCCAATTTTTAAACAGGGATGGCTTTGCCTATATGCAGATGTAAGGTCACCTTTTTCGTTGGCGGATAATTTTAGGATTAAAACCATACGTCGTGTAGTTATGAGGCCACATGTCCCGTTGGGACAACTAGAAACATAACCTTTAATTTATAAGAACGGACGACTGGAGATCCAAATGTAGGTCCGAGGACAGTTCAAAAAAATATAAATTTATAGCTTGTTAATACAGTATACAGAGAACCAGAAGAGCCATCACCCAGGTAGGAAAAGAAAGATAGAGCGAGAGAGAGAAAGAGTGAGGGAGAAAGAGTGAGAGGGAGAGAAAGAGTGAGAGGAAAGAGAGAGAGAGAGAGAGAGAGAGAGAGAGAGAAAGAGTGTGTGAGAGAGAGTGAGAGCGTGAGGTAAAGAGAGAGAGAGAGAGAGAGGAGAGAGAGAGAGAGAGAGAGAGCTTGAGGTAAAGAGAGAGAGAGAGAGAGAGACTACCTCAGAGCTACCACTGAAACTACGTACCAGACACCTAACCGAAGAGGAACTATTTGAATTACATTTTTCGAATACTGCATACACCATATATGATGATCCCGAATAAATAGTTTTTGAATAAGTTTAAAATTTTTTGCGAAAAAAGTATCAACTGCACTGCAAAGAGGCAACTGAAAAAAGTGCAAGGGGTATGAGCTTTTAAAGTAAAGAGAAAAGGGCGGGGCTGGAGTGGGTGGTTTTTGTTTTTTCTTTAAATCTACACATTTGACATGAGAAAATAACTTGCCGTGACTTCTATGGTAACTCAACTTTAGAGAGAGAGAGAGAGAGGCGTGGTCTAAAAAATGCATGGGGCGTGGTCTTCAAGTAATAGAGCTCCAATATTTCTCTTTGCGGTGCAATACTTCACAATCGCGAAATCCCGCCTTTTTGTAGGGCATCTCTGTTACCTCGAGCTAAGAGTGAGAAGGAGGAGCTTGAATACAAGTCCCGCCTTTTTTTGTATGGAATCTCTGTTGTCTCGAGCTAAGAGTTAGAAGGAGGAGCCTGAATACAAGTCCCGCCTTTTTTGTATGGCATCTCTGTTGCCTCGGACCGAGGAGTTGAAGGAGGAACCTGAATACAAGTTCCGCCTTTTTTGTATGGCATCTCTGTTGCCTCGAACCGAGGGTTAGAAGGAGGAGCCTGAATTCAAATCCCGCCTTTTTTTGTATGGCATCTCTGTTGCCTCGAACTGAGAGTTAGAAGGAGGAACCTGAATACAAGTCCTGCCTTTTTTTGTATGGCATCTCTGTTGCCTCGAGCTAAGAGTTAGAAGGAGGAACCTGAATACAAGTCCCGCCTTTTTTGTATGGCATCTCTGTTGCCTCGAACCGAGAGTTAGAAGGAGGAACCTGAATACAAGTCCCGCCTTTTTTGTATGGCATCTCTGTTGCCTCGAACCGAGAGTTAGAAGGAGGAACCTGAATACAAATCCCGCCTTTTTTGTATGGCATCTCTGTTGCCTCGAACTGAGAGTTAGAAGGAGGAACCTGAATACAAGTCCCGCCTTTTTTGTATGGCATCTCTGTTGCCTTGAACCGAGAGGTAGAGAGAGGAACCTGAATACAAGTCCCGCCTTTTTTGTATGGCATCTCTGTTGCCTCGAACCGAGAGTTAGAAGGGAGGAACCTGAATACAAGTCCCGCCTTTTTTGTATGGCATCTCTGTTGCCTCGAACCGAGAGTTAGAAGGAGGAGCCTGAATACAAATCCCGCCTTTTTTGTATGGCATCTCTGTTGCCTCGAACCGAGAGTTAGAAGGAGGAACCTGAATACAAGTCCCGCCTTTTTTGTCATGGCATCTCTGTTGCCTCGAACTGAGAGTTAGAAGGAGGAACCTGAATACAAGTCCCGCTCTTTTTGTATGGCATCTCTGTTGCCTCGAACCGAGAGTTAGAAGGAGGAACCTGAATACAAGTCCCGCCTTTTTTGTATGGCATCTCTGTTGCCTGAACCGAGAGTTAGAAGGAGGAACCTGAATACAAGTCCCGCCTTTTTTGTATGGCATCTCTGTTGCCTCGAACCGAGAGTTAGAAGGAGGAACCTGAATACAAGTCCCGCCTTTTTTGTATGGCATCTCTGTTGCCTCGAACCGAGAGTTAGAAGGAGGAACCTGAATACAAGTCCCGCCTTTTTTGTATGGCATCTCTGTTGCCTCGAACCGAGTTAGAAGGAGGAGCCTGAATGCAAATCCCGCCTTTTTGTATGGCATCTCTGTTGCCTGAACCGAGAGTTAGAAGGAGGAACCGCAATACAAGTCCCGCCTTTTTGTATGGCATCTCTGTTGCCTCGAACCGAGTTGGAAGGAGGAACCTGAATACAAGTCCCGCCTTTTTTGTATGGCATCTCTGTTGCCTCGAACCGAGGAGTTGTAGATGGAGGAACCTGAATACAAGTCCCGCCTTTTTGTATGGCATCTCTGTTGCCTCGAACCGGGAAGTTAGAAGGGGAACCAATACAAGTCCCGCCTTTTGTAATGGCATCTGTTGCCTCGAACCGAGAGTTAGAAGGAGGAACCTGAATACAAGTCCCGCCTTTTTTGTATGGCATCTCTGTTGCCTCGAACCGAGAGTTAGAAGGAGGAACCTGAATACAAGTCCCGCCTTTGTATGGCATCTCTGTTGCTCTCGAGCTAAGAGTTAGAAGGAGGAGCCTGAATACAAATACCGCCTTTTTGTATGGCATCTCTGTTACCTCGAACCGAGAGTTAGAAGGAGGAGTATATACGAAAGACACGCCTTTTTTTCTGGGGCTTCTCGGAAAACTCATCAAGAAGACGTGGAAAGCACAACTCTCAGGTCTCTATAGTTTCTCTGAAAAATTTCGGAGTTACGCTCCGTGGTGTAATTTGAATGATTGAGTATCTGGAAGCACGCAAGCAGAAGGAGACAATGACACGCCCACCCGTAAGCCTATTTAAAAAGTTCTGAGTGCCAAGAAGTCACACAAAATTCCGTTTTTTCATACATTCGATGCTATATGTTTTTTTACAGTACTATTTTTTCGGACCTTGAAAAATGTAATAAACTTACAGAAAAGACATCGAGATGGCCGGTTCCTCCAACAACTACACCAACAACAACAATTCCGACATGGAGACCAAGCAGAAAGGTGATAAACTATTGAGAAAAAGCCTTTTTATGTTTTTTAGGTATGAAGAAGAAGGTGAAGGTGGATGCGACGGTTCAACGTGACTCGGGCGGCTACCCAGCGCAAAAGGAGAACGTCGACGCATGGTATAACGTCAAGCAGTGTGGTTATTGCAAATTGAAGTCTGGGTAAAATAATATTAATTAAATGCAATCCAAATACACATCTAGGAGCTTCAAACCACATCCGTACGTCTATTCCTTCCACATGTGCTCACGATGCAGATTTATGACGAACAAGGTCAACAGCTTTGTCAACGACACCACCACGCACTACTCTTATATCCCAGACCCGATGGTAAGCCATAAAAAAAAGACACTCAAGAAAATAAAATTTTTTCCAGGCAGAGGAAGACAACAACATGGAAGCAATGCCAGCTGAAACTCAACAACCTTGATGTCGGAAATTAAAAATGTGTGTGCCTGTGTGTTGTGTTCTGCATTTTTTTTGAACAATAAATTTTTAAAAAAATATTTATTCGCACAGAAAAAAACAGTTAGGGTTGAGAGGTAAAGCTGCAAAGATCAGCAGAGACAACACGATTAATGGGATCAAGAAAAAACAACAATTGGAAAAGGGGTTGAGCTTTTTGGGTCGGCACATCTGGCGCGAACGGCTTCTGTTGCATCTTCAAAGTCGGAACGTCAGGCTTGAACTCTTCGTTGAAGTGGAGACCCTCGGGTGGCGCATTGTCGGACTTCTGAACGCTCCGTTGCTTACAGCTGGAACGCTGGTGACGCGTGAGATTGGAACGCGTCGTAAAGTTCTTCTTGCAGCAGGGGCACATGTGTAGAAGAGACTTCTGAGAGCCTACGGTAGGCTGAACCGAAGGCTCCATGCGACCGGATGCTAGCGTGACAAACGCGCGAATGACGAAGGTGCAGAAACACGCCGACTTTTATAGAGATTGTAGAGGGAGGAGTTTTAAAGAAAAACACGTAGTCAACGACCGGTGGCATATCTGGAGCGGACGCTCATAAGTATTTGGCGTTCGTCAGAGTTGATCGTCTCGATGTGACGTATTGCATCGTAGAAAGAGATACCGGTGGCCATCAGGTGCAAAAACAATAGTGCGTAGGGACCGCAAATTCTACTACCCAGACGTTGGTGTTGCACATCGTTGTGCAATACTTTGTAAAAATTATCGTTCAACCATTGTTTGATAGGGCCTGGCGGTGGTTTTCCCAAAGGATCATAGTAATATCCTAGACCTTGACGTCCGCAGATGGCAACCCAGTGGCTACCAACCTGGTCTTGATTGTCTAGATTGACGATGAGAATACCATGGCCACGCGACCAAGTAGGAAGTGTATCTTTGGCAAACACACCGACGTGTAGGTGACGTGTCAAAGTGTTGCGAGAGAGCAGATTGTGTAGTTGACCAACGTTCATTTTTTTTAAATAGCCAACGTTTGTGCCTGGCGCGTGTGGTCAATTGACAATTTATTCATAAACTCGGCGTGGACGATACACATCAAACCACCGGCAGGTGTCGGCGTCCCAAACTCAAGGTCCAGAGTGCACTGGCCCGACACTGCCATGTCAAAACTCTCGACGCCGCCGTCTGCCTCCGGCAACAGCTCAAAGACGTGCACGCAACGCGAGTCGGCAAAAGTGTCGGGGTCGATACCGTTGGTTCGATTGCTAGCCGCCATACCGGTCCCTTCAAGCATGGCGGTATAGCTTTCCGTGTAGCCAAAGCCGTTTTCCATGTTCCAGTCGAGGTTCCATGCTTTTGAAGGTACCGTATTTCCGGCAAATCGTATTTGAATGTTGCGAAGGTCGTAGTTGTTGAAACGCCAAGGATCCGTTTTCAAAGACCCCGTAAACGCATCGTTTTTCACCAAACCCACAAAAATACGGCGTGGTATCTGATTGGAATTGAACAGCTGCATCTCGGGTAGCTTCAGTTGACCTTGGGGAATGTAGTAGGCCTTGGTTTGGTAGCTCCTCATCGGGTAGACTGCTTTTTTACCGCTGGCCAGCGAACGCTCGATGGAGGCGGCAGCCGAAGGGTACAACTGGTACTCGGCAAGCACGAGTCGAATGTCATGGATCACGAAACGCCAATCCGTCTTGTCAGAGTCGTACGCGCGAATCAAGAACTGGTCGTTTTGACGATGCAGCGTAATTTGAATGTCCGTATTGTTGAGCATAAGCTTGTTTGAGGTGGCAATGTTGAGGTCTAGTGGGCTATTAACCCGAACCTTACGACCTTTCATGAACATGGTAGAGAGATCTTCGAAACCGTCGTTCGACTTGTCTTCAATGCCGCTTTCGAGATCGCTATAGCATTGCACGTGTCCATAATTATATTTCTTGACTGCGTTGTCAGACATGAATTCAGTGTTGAGGAAAGCCCGATAGGGATACAGATCGCCCGTGTTTTCCACCTGGTTTCCATTAATGTTGACGGTAATTTGCTTCCAGAAAGCTTTTGCGGCTAGTTGAATGGGTGCGCATTTATCCTTTTCGATGACGCGTTTCCTGATCTTGCCGGTGGCATCTTTCTCTTCGACCGTTTTTCCAGCAGAGTCTTTTTCAAAGAGGTGATGCTCGTACCCTTTATTTTCACCGTCCACCAGACTCAAAGTCATGGTGACATCACTTCGTGCCAGTGAAATATAGTGCGGCTCTTTCATGATACGGAAGGAAATTGGACCTGTCTGGGTTAGGGTGCTATTTTCGGGGGCTATGCTACGATAACGCATTGCCTGAACGCCAACGACATGTTGGATAGGTTCGAACAATGACAATTCATTGGAAAAAAGAAATTCAGGGTGTGCGTCCAAGGTTTTAGGGTTGTCCATGCTTGCGTTTCGGCGGTACCGTTGTCAAAATGACGTGTTTGCGCTTTCTACCTCTTTTTGTACCCGCTGCGCCCTCTCCCAGCATGCGGAGAGGTGGTAGAGAAGCAGAGAGCGAGGCACGTTTCGAACTTTTTTTGGACTTGCGACGCTGCGAAACCTTTCGGGCTTTAGAAGCCCGAACCCCTCCCTTTTTGGGGGTCCCTACTTTGAGTTTTCGGGCCTTAGAGGCCCGTCTTTTGGCCCCTACCCCAAATGGGTTTGGGGGGTTACCTACTTGGGGGAACCCTACTTGGGGGGTCCCTACTTGGGGGGTCCCTACTTGGGGGGACCCGACCGCGAACGTGTTTTTTCCCTGTCCTTGGACAGGGAAACGGCCACGACCGAGTGGCAAGTACTTTTTTAAATTTCGAGGTGGTTGGTGCGGTTTGCCATAACCCACCTGGACGTTATCGCTGGCAAAAGACCAGTCAAATTGACGTGGTGCAGAATGGTATTCCATGACGTTGTGGGACCGTAATCTTACGAATGAACCTTCGGGCTCTAGTAGACCCTTTTAAAGTGCAACGTGGCGATGCATTTTCCATAGTTAAAGTTAATGTCGCGGTCCTGGTCGTCGGCAATCCGAAGTGTTATATCTTTGAAACAGCCTTGGCGTACCGGACGATATGTCGGAGGGTTAAACGACTTGCTAAACGTTTTGCCCCAACCCTGATCGACAGGTATGGTGCGTAGCAACTCCCGGTATGTTTCTCCCACCAGTTGAGGTTCAACCACATTGCAATAGACGGACAAGTTGTGACAATTTGCTTGCATGTCCATGATGTATTTGGCGTAGCGACTGGCCTTGACTGTCATATACTCAAACCCCAGGATTTGCCAAAGGAGCTTGGGAAGTAATAGCTTTTCGACTTTTGTCTGATCTATCTCAACCCAAGCCCTACCCCGGTTTTCGTCGTATCGGAACGCCACACCGTGCTTTTCCAACGCATTGTCATAGAGCTGACGGGAAGTGCTATTCTCTGGTAGAGCAGGGGCAACTGGTTGAATCGCAGGCACCGATACTGGAGGAACGTTCGGTTTAAAAACAGTTGGAATGTTGGCAGGCACGACACGCGGGAGCACTCTTTCAGTGCTACCTGCAGTGCCGGTAGAAGTGACGCCTGGTACGTTGGACCCTGTAGATGGGGTGGTACCTGCTGTAGAGGTGTTCGCAGAAGGCGTGGTGGTCTTCGCAGAAGACGTGGTGGCGTTCGCAGAAGACGTGGTGGTGTTCGCAGAAGACGTGGTGGTGTTCGCAGAAGACGTGGTGGTGTTCGCAGAAGGCGTGGTGGTCTTCGCAGAAGACGTGGTGGTCTTTGCAGAAGACGTGGTGGTCTTCGCAGAAGGTGTGGTGGTGTTGTTGGGAGCAGCAGTTTGCACGGAACCGGAGATTGTCACAGCAGGTTTCGGTACTCCAGGTGGTGTTTCATTTGTAAGAGAAGTACCTTCAGACGTTTTTGGGGTTTGGTGTGTCTCAGCTACCTCTTTTGGGGCTCCGATAGGTGCAATCTTTGGAAAGACGCTACCCTCAGCGGCAGTGTTTTGCCGTATTAAATCTCTCTTACGCTTCAATGAACCGCCAAAACAGACGTTAAGCGCATCAATCAATTTTTCGGGGGTTGCATAAGTACCTTGCGCCAGCCAAAAATTATTTTCTTTTCCATCTTTGGTAGTTAGACGTAGTTTTTGAGCCTCTGAAATTTGGTCCCAAGATGTGGAAACGTTGAATCGGACAAGGGCGCATGTCCAATAACCTTGACGACCAGTCGGTTGATATAGGTTAATTTCCTGGGCTAGGCGATTGACAAACGTGGAACCTTCGCCATCGCGACGCGAAGGACCTACCAGCGTTACATAAATGTCATCACTCATGGCTTATTTTTACTTTTTAGGGGTGAAGGTACCAGGAGACAGGCAACCGAAAGCGTGGCGCTTAACCAAACTGATAGTTCACCGCCCTTTATATGCGCTATTGTCACGTTTATAAGACATGTAAGGACAATCAGAAAAATTAGGGCTACCCGCGCTCTGACTAAGGTTTGATTGTTAGCAAAGCGGGATAGCCTGCTTGAACCGCTTGAAAGTCCCTCTTCCATTATCATGGTTCGACGTGTCGTATAAGCGACTTATCCGGTACCCATGCATTATATACGGCTGGTAGCTGGTGATACTTGATCAGTGTGTGTGGTTCGCGGTCAACCTTTTTTGTATCCAGAATTTTCTCCACATTATAGGTCTTCGGTTTTCTTACTTTTTGCAGCTCTTCCTTGTAGTAAACCCGTCGCAGGTGTTTACCCTGTAACGTTATCAGATAGAACAGAGGTCCACTAAAGCTTTTCGTGCGTACCAACCGCTCGATACGGTAAACGTCTGCAGCGAAAGTTCCCTTGTATGATTTTCTGAACACCACCTGTTCTTTCTTGACGACAACATGATCACCAACTTTCAGAGGGGGTTCTGCTTTTCTAGCCTTTATTTTGTCGTCTATGGGTATATAGGTATCTCTTTTCATCTGATTCGGTGTGAGACCCTTCAGAGGTTCCGTTGGTGAGTTATTGATAGCTTCAACGACATTTTGTAGTATGTCAACCCATTTGTATGTATTTTTCTCGGTAAAATATCTATAAATGCGGGATTTGAGATCTCTGATCTTGCGCTCAGCCGGCGCTGCTTTGGACACGCCTGACGTAAGTATATGGCGAATCTCATGGTCCTTGAGAAATTTTTTCATTGGTGCTCCGGTAAATTCGAGCCCTTGGTCTGTGGTAAGGTAGTATGGGGGATCTCCAATTTCGCGATAAATCTGCTCTAATCTACGCTTGACACTCTGCGGTTTTTTGTTTAGCAAAGGTTTCGCATATGTTTTACGGGAAAACAAATCGACAACGACCAAAATGTAACGCTGTCCATCGTTGTACTGTTTCAACTTCTGAAAATCGGCCAAGTCGGCGACATGATGGCTATTCCAGCTCGTACCGCGGAACTTTTTACGTGGAAACTTGTGCAAAACCTTCCGATGCAAGATATACGAGTTTTTCTTTTGCAGGTACGTGTCAACCTGTTCTTTAGAAATACCTTGCTTCGCTGCTTCGCGAATCAAATTCACGCGTGATGTAAAAGCTATGGGAGATTCGACGTTTGTAAAGAGACGATCCAAAATTTTAACGATAGCTGACGACTTTAAAGCTTTTTTCCCCGACCTGCACCTGTTTGTTCTTCATTGTCACCCGTCCAATGTCTTAACTTTTGACGACGAAGTAAATCTTGTTGTAGCTCACGTATCCGTTCAAGCGGTCGTTTTTCGGGTTGCTTGACTAAAGTTTTTGTTAGCCTTGGTGCTTTCTCGGTCAACTGTTTATAGACCACGTCGTAGCCTGCAGGTTGCGGATGTGAAGTATCGCTAGCTGCAACTCTTGCAATGTCAAACAAGTTGCTGCCTTCTATCACCTCCCCGTCTTCGTTAAGGACCCGGTTCTTATCGTCTTTCTTGATGTGTTTAGACATCAATTTAAAGGCTTTTTCGTAGCGATTTGGAGGTTTTGTATTTTGTCGGATTGGTTTTCGCCTTTTCACGGATTTTACGCTGGGCACGTCAGGTTTTGTCTTTTGTTCATTAACAATAGATGTTTCCGGTCTCGAATAAAAAGGATACCGTAACTCGTGCGTCAGCTCGCTAAGAAAGTTAACAAATTTATTATATAGCTGCATTTTCAAGTCTTCAGGCAGTGTGCTGTGCAATATTTTTTTCATTGCATCTTCTGTTTCGTGGGCTTGTTCGATTGTTTGTTCCCGGATACTTGGGTTTATACCTTCACCTGTTTGCAATGTCGTCTCTTTCTCCCGGTAGGGCACCAGCATCATTTTTTGAAAACTTTTGGTGCTCATTGCAGCAATGCCAAAGCGGGTTTGACCACCAATTTCAGAGTATTGCAGTGTATTTTCAGATACTTGCGTGCTTCCTCGTAATTACGCAGCGATGCCAATTTCAGTAGTATAGGCAGATGTTTTTTCAAACGTTTTTGCTCGTACTTATATAGGGGTACCTTACCTTTGGTTAAGTTGAAGATAAATTCTATAATAGTGCGTATTTCCGCTTCTGTGGCTTTCGTTATTAACAACTTGGGGTTCTTTGTTATGCCAATTTTTTTTCAGGATTTTACCCTGAACTGTTAAAGAACCCAAATACATCTTGCTTTAGCGTTAAACTAACGCGGAAGGTAAAAAACCTGTCTTTTATCTGGAAAAATGTCAGTCACGAGACGTTCGTTGCGGTTTACCAAACTCGGGTGACAATTGATAACCAGATATTGGTAGGGGCTAGCTGTAGCATCCATGTAGCTATCCCAAAAGTACTTGAACTGGTTTGGGAAGCATTGTAGACCTATTTGACGTGCTTGCATCAAATCAGAAACGGAACGTAGTAATACGATATAATTAGCGTTGATGCGTGAAGTTCGACGAGTACGAAAGGCATCTTGACTTAAATAGAGTAGTGTGCATTTTTTGGTGGTGTGTTATTTTAGACGTTAGCGCGGACATGGTCTGTTCGTTCATTGAAAGCATGAGGTCGTCTAGTATGACTAGTGCATTTTCCAGAGTTTCCAATTGTTCATCTGTCGGTGGTCCTTCGATTACATGTAGTTTTCGTTGTCTATTTTCAATCGTATTTTCAATATTTTGTTTAGAACCGGTGAAATAGTAGATTTCTTGAATGTCACCCGCATGCTCAACAATATCGTCAATATATTTTATGAACTTGGCCGTCCACGTTGTTTTACCCCCTAGGGATTGGCAAAAAATAAAAATGGAGCATGGATGTCGAAATTTAAAATATTTTGCATCCAGTTGCATGTTGAATAAGTTATTTGTGACAGAAATGTGTAACGAACACTTAAATAACCTCCCTCTGTCTCGTCATGAGGTCCCCCTTCATATTTCTCTTCCTGATAGTTTGTATTCAAACCCGTGTGCCAGCGACGGTATATTCAAAAATATTTATTCAAAAATAAATATTATTTAAAGGTTTGTCGACACGTGTGCCGGCGTACCGTGGAGTGCGACTTCATCGACGGGTTCTACATTTGCGCCACGTACGGTACGTCTACGTTTCCTTTGTCGCCAGCACGTGTTTAGTAGACTTCCTGAAAAAATGCGATTTTTATAGATCAATCCGTGCCCGCTGAAGATGTGGAGATCGCAGAAAGAGGCCAAATCTCGCTCGTGCCGTCTCTCGAAACTACGACAACTACGACTAAGCCTACGCACGCCGAGATCGCCCTTCCAAAACTCGAAGAAACACCCCCGTCGATGCTCCTATACAACCTCTCGGACATGGCCACAAACATAATTTACGCAATCCTAGGGCTTATTTCAGCTCTAACTGCTTGTTTTATAATCTTTAAACTATTCTGTGTCAAGCTTAATACCTTTCTCGATTGTTAGTTAAACCCCATGCACCGGTTCCGAACCACCTTTACCCCATCCTTTGCCCCTTTAATGTTGATTTCTCCTCAACAAGGAACAATTCAACACAGTGAGTACAAAAAAACGCTTGCGGCTACCCTCAGGTTTTCGACTATGGCGATTCCAACCCTCTAGTCAGAATTTCCTAAATGGGCCTCTGGACAGAGATACAGCACTTCCGGAAAATGATGATTTGCATCCGAAAATTATGGCGTGGTTTATGAAATACCATGTGGATTACCAGTCGAATGGCCGGTGATAGCGACTCACTTAATAGGATGCTGACGAGGTTCCGAATCAACTCACGAATTTTACTTTGCTTTTGATGAACTTTCCGCCCAACTCCAAGTTTTGATTTTACTATAAGCAAAATTTGGTTATAGCTAGGCTGATTACTCCCCAGAAGCCTCCAGCCCATTCAGTTTTTTTTTTACCGAAGGGCCTCTATGATTTACTTGTGTGGAATTTTTTTCATTTTATTGGCTTTGCTAATGCTTTTGGACGTTTTAGAAAGAGAACGAATTTTCGAAAAAAGTGGCCAAAACTTGGAGTTAGACGGAGAAGTTCCGGTCAAAAAGCAAATAAAAATCGTGAGCAGATTCAAGACCCCCGTCAGCATCTTATCAAGCGAGTTGCTTACCACTCGGCCATTCAACTGGTGATTCCATAGTGTTGGGTGAGCCTCATCAGCCTATCGCCAATGCTAATTTTCGGATGCAAATTGTCATTTTCGGAAGTGCTGTATCTGTCAGAGGCCCATTTAGGGATTCTGACTTCGTGGGAATATGCATGATCGGCGCCGAGGCTAACCGGCATTACAAAGCTTTCACGTGCTCTTTGAGGCCACCGATTAGATAGGCAGCGATGAATAAGTGTCCGGCAGCTATGGTATAGGGTAACCACACGTGCGATGATGTGCCATCGCATTCAAAAACACCTGTGATGAAAGCCGGGCATACACATAGAGTCGGTTTCTCAAACCTGGAAAAAGCGTTAGACAAAAAAGAAGATGTATACCCATAGATCGCTATGCATATTTTAGGTGGTTTGCATTCCGGAACGCATTGTTGGCTTTCCGACCAGTAGTAGTCGCTCATAGCATCGCTTTGAAAAACGTAGTTTGAAGTTCCTAACGTACAAAATAGCAGGAATAAAAAATAATTCATTGCCATGAAGAAAAAATATAAACAATCTGCGCGGGAGGTTTCGGTCTGTGTTTGTCAGTCATCGCTTTGTGTTTTGTTTTTTGTTGTTGTTCCATGTAGCCGAAGGGGATGACGCGCGTGTCGGGCAAGATTTGCCCTGCTGTTAGTCTAGCCATGTATCTTTTTGTTTGTAGTTCTGTACCGACCGTTCCAAATTTTTTCCGAATCTGTGGCTTCGTAAAATTTAGAGGAGCCGTGGTATCACCTTCGATTAACAGTTCAATCTGTTTTTCAATATTTTCCAATGTTGCCAAGTTTTTGTTACTGGAGTTCTGGGTTATACCTCTTATTTTCACCACATCATAACTATCTTCTTTGTCATTTCCTTGATACACCGCACGATATGCATATTGTTTACAGCCGCCCGAAACAAATTTTTTTTATCCGATACTTGGGATCCACCTCATTTTGCAATTGCCCTAAATTCTCGCCGGCTGTCTTGTTTAGAAAATTTTCAATGTGTGCATCGTTATCTTTGCGGATGAACATGATGCTATCGGTGTCTGCGTAGAGGATTTTCTCCGACCCTATTTCCAGCAAACATCGGGTTAGACGGATTCTCCCATATGAGGTGGTCAATATAGCTATTGGGAGACTGGAAAATGATGCGGAATGAACCCATTCTTTACGTTTTTTATGCGTTATGACCCACACCCCTATGTCGTCAAATATTTTATCATAATTCACTTCTATTGTTGGATCGTTCCATAGTTTGCTGACCGTCTCATCGTCTTTAGCAAACGTAACCTCCACCCTTTCGGCCCGGAGACCTGTTCTACCCCATAAGGACACTAGAGCTTGTTTGGCGATGTAGCGTTTTCCTTTGTTCGGTTTCTCTAAGGCTTTAGGGTCAAGCTCTATACCGTGATGGTATTTAAATTTTGTGAGAAACCTCTCTCTTTGCTCTTCTGTCTCAACATCTGCAGGCCATCCGCTAGCTTCGTATTTCTGTTTAAAAAATACCTTCATATAGTTGGCAAAAAGGCCTCCTTCGGGTATAATTTCCCATTTCGGATCATCTTGCGTCCATCGATCCCACGCCCAGATCTCGTGAATTTGTTGTATTGTATATCCATTCTCTAGACCCAACTCCAGCTCAAACGATGTATAAACGTCACGTAGACACCGTTGTTTAATTGTGTGCCTACACGGTTTGTAGCCTATGTTCATGCCATTTTCACATCTTTCCACCATGCACGTGTAGCACAAGGTGTAGATCATTTGATGTTTGAATCTTGTTGGTAGGACGGCAATTTTTATATTTTGCGGGGGTAGTACGGTGCAATAGTAAAGACCTTTATGCTTCAAAATCGGCTGTAGCGAACCTTTGTCGACTTGTTGGTCATTATCGCCTGGTTCCGGGTATATTAGCGTGGGTTCCCCTATAGGAAAAGCACAGAAAGAACCTATCGCAGCGTATAGACTACAGAAATCATAGAAGGCTATGTATTCGTCTTCTTTCAGTTGAGGTGCCATGGCAAAAGTCTGAACTCTACCACCTTTAAAAGCTTTCCTAGGTTTCAGGTTCCCGACCACTTCGTAATTTTTCATAAAGGTGTGCATATTCCGGTCTTGCTTTTGTAGGTTTTTGATCTCGCACTCCCATACTGCGTGGACTATAAAATCTTCTTGCTCAAGGTCCGCTTGTCGATTAATTGTCTCTTCATATAAACATTCCATTGTTTTTCCATTGAATGGACTCTCAAGTTCGCGATCGTGAATGCATGTGTGTCCGTGGTAGACGCACCCATTAACTTCAACGGCGTGCTGTCTCCCTTGGTCGTCAACATAGTAACCGTCTAGTCGATAAGTATGTCCCGTCTTTGTCTTGACAACCTTTTCACCTCCATAGGTTGCACGTTGGATTTTTACACCTAGTTGTTTTTCATGCCATGCCAGATATTTTTGTGAAAGTTTACTATACACTTGCTGTAAGCCGCGTTCGGGTATATTGCACACGGGGTATTCTTCGTTATGAAACAGGTGTCGAAACGTGGCCAGGCAGGTGGAAGCCAGAGTTGTTTCTTGTTGTAAAGGGTCAAATTTTGCCATTTCCACATAAAACTTTCGAAATTTTAGCATTCCTTGGGCTAGGACCAACGTGTCAGCTCTAGTGCTCATATTCCCTATCCTCCCAATTGAAGGGTGTACCTGAGTCTTTTTTATCTTGTATAAACTTTTCTAGTTCATGTCTTTCTTTTGTGGACATTGTCTCGGATCCAAAGTAGATGGGTAGTGGCCATTTATCGGATTTTTTCTGATCTTCTGGCCTCGGGAATAGAAGGCCGAATCAACTAACTTTGTTGTCAGCTCAAAAGTTGTCGCATATGATTTGAGGGGTATGCTGGCAAAATTGCGGCTATCCAAGAATACGAGTCGGTTAACCTTGGCATTTCTCTTTGAAATCGTATTCTCCGGGGACCATTCGTATGAACTATCAACAAAAGTACCGTCGCGCTTACGTTTTCTAATACTGCGCAGCATTTCTGAGCGATCTCTTGTGACCTCGAGTCTTAGAATTCGTTGTCCACTGAATATCACCTTTGGTATTATCTTAAATTTCAAGAGCATCTTTAATATCCAATGTGTATCGAAAGAACCACCATTCTGCGCAATGCATATTCTCCGGTCATTTTCCGGGGAGAAGAAGAGCCATGTGCAAAACCTTTCTAGTAAATCTTCGGGACCATCGCCAGGTCTAGGTTTCCATAGCATCACGTCGTTCATTCTACATGTATTGCAATAGCCTACACCCTTGTGATTTGAAGGCTTTGTATTGTTCGGTAAAAACTCCTCGGGGCAGCATTTTTGACATACATTTAGAACGCTTGCATAGTTTACATGCTGTTCAGGTAACCATATCAGCTCACCTTGAGGGCCATGTTTTACAGCTTCTGTTTCGAAATCAAAGAATAGAAATTTAAATTTCTTCGTTTTCTTAAGAGCTGTTAAGAGTTTTTGTTCGCCAACTTTTTCCCATCTGCAGCTATGCCCCTGCTCTTTCATCTCTCGGCATTTTGCGCAATAAAACACGTTACATTTATGCTCTATTCTACGTTGGTATCTTTCAAATAGTTCCTGATCGCATCCTAGGCATCTATAGAGCACGGCCTTGCATTTACCTTTTTCAAGGTGATTCTGGTAACATGTGCGATTCGGGAACGTTATGTAGCAGTTTAGACACGTTTGTGTTGAATCTTCTAGTCTGCAACGCTTCGGTGCTGTACGGCAGTATCTGCACGAAAAAATGCACGTGGTGTGGCTGGCTTTGTTTGAGGTGATAATCAAGCACCTAGGACATTGGTATTCTAGCTTGACCCTTTCTCGTCCGTTAAAAGCACCTTGCAATGAGAAAAATGTTTCGTAGTGTCCTTCGCTATATATCAACCTAAGAATTGGTAACTTGGTGTCGGGATTTTTTGTGGAAAAAATCAGCTTTCCGTTATTGTCATAGACAGCTATTCGATATGCATCTTTGAGGTAATTTTGTACTTGCTGGACCTCGACAATCGACATCGCTCTACCTTTTTTGCTTTTATACTTTGGAATACTTTCTAAACCTAAATTCTCGGCCTTCATATTCGCATATTGATACGAGCTACATAGGAGTGCCAATTCCATTTTCAATAAGGTTGTTGTCTTCCCTTTCGTTTTGTTTCTGGCAAGGATATATTTTTCGTTCGCTATAGCGCGGACTAAGGAACGTAGCAGGCAATTATTGTCGGGTGTCGGTGGTTCTTGAAAAACTTGTTTTGAAAGGTTGCGTCTTGCACCTCCTGCGTAGAGCTTCGAATGAGGCATTAAAGTTATCACTATTTTCATATTTTCATCGAGGGTATAGCTCTCATTGCTCTGCACCATCGCTTCAAACGTTGCAAACAATGCATGGCTATCGTTTGTCTTACGGGTTCTCGGTGGTAGGTAACAACCTTTTTTTCCAGACTCATGCATTGAGCGATGTTCGAGAGCTACGCGAAATCGTATCTTTTCGAGTTCGCCTTTCTTTAGCCTCACCTCTTTTGCGTAGTCGTCTAGAATCTGATCTATCGCGTGTTGCGTCAGTTTTTCTAGGTATCCGATTTCAATCTTACCTTCAAGTTCATTGAACATTATAGATTTCTCATAAGTATAAGCATTGAGGTTTTTATGTTTAGTTTTGACAAAATCAGAGATCTGGTACATATCGCCATTTATTTTAGCATCTAGATGTTCTTTTTCGGTTTCTCTAGGTATTAGCTCCCATTGACGACCGAAACCTTCTTGCTGCTGGAAATCCTCGTCGTAAATCTCATCGTTGATTGTTGTCACATATTCGTCCAGGTCGATGATTTCGGTGGTCTTAATCTTTGTTCCTTTCGTAATTTTATTTTTTAAATTCCCGTACCTTTGCTTTCGTACGTTGACTTTTTGGTTTCGCTGTTGTTGGTGGCGGTGAGGGGCTGGGTGAGTAGTCTACAAGCTGCATTTAGGTTTCTACCTATAAAAAATTTTATTCTGAAGTCCACATCAAATAACACACATATGGAAAACATTTAGGTATGCTATCGAAAAAAATCACATATGTCTTTACATGTTGTAGGGATAGGCGTAGGGGTTTTCTTGATAGTTGCACTGGACTAGATGGGGATATTTAGTTTCACGTATCACTCTTCCGTGTTCGTCGTATTCGACCACGGTGAGTTTGCATCTACCATCGTTATTGGACATCTCTCTACAATAATAGATGGGTTCAGTAAAAGTTCTATATCCATGACTGCAGTTTGTATATTCTTCGACCCAGTGCACCCTTGGATGTCCTTGGGTTTGGTTTGAAAGATCTACATTTGAATGATTCTCGCGATAGGGTATGGGTTCGGTATAGGTTTGGAGAAAGTCTGGAGTTTGGGTTGCGGCATCTACGTGAAGTTTCGGTTTTGGGTCAGTTGGGGGTAGTAAAGGTTTTTTCGACATTCTCTTGCCCATGCCGCGGTTCCAGATCTTCGGATGTTGACGAGTTGTCGTCAAAAACATCGATCACGTCCATTTCGGTTTTCACCTGTTGAGTATCGGGCTGCTGCGTGTTGTCGGCGGCCATCTGTAAATATTTATTCTTCAACACGTAAATTCTTCATGGGAGAACACTTCTTATGGAGATATTCGCTCTTGTACAGTTTCACCAGGTAATAGGGCACGATGAGCAAATGAACAACATTTTGAATCAAGGAAATATAGAGGCACATTCTATAAATATTATCATAGATTATATTCTGGGGTAATACACATTGCAAGTCGTAGTTATGTGGTATAAATAGGGTGTCTATCCTAATTGTGCACAGCACTTCGACAGGAAATAAAATTTCATTTCTAAATTTTAGCCAGCAAAAATTCTGGCAGCTTAAGAAATTGAGCAGGAACCCCAAGACCAGTAGAGGTGGCACAATGGTTGAAAGCGCCGCCGCGAACTTTAGTTTTTTGTTATCCCTGTGCTTGCTAGTTTTTAGGGCATTATTAAACATTAAAGGAATGAAGTGCAAGACAATAATGAGAGGTGTGATGTAGAGCAGATAGAGATATCGCTCAATAGTGGAATATCGGCGTTCAGTTTCCTTGGTGTAATACATATCACCTTTTGGATTCGGTATCATAGATTTAAGTAGGCACGCTTCTTTGGCATATTTTTCCCAGCTAGGCGAGAACTCTGCAGGGAATGCGCACTCGATGTACGAAGAAGAGACCTGTTTAGATAGAGATGCAACAAATATTAGAAAATATAGGGTTGAGAAGTAGGTGTTAAATTTGAAGAGATAGTTGTTCTGACTGCATTGGTACATGCTCTTCAAAGGTTTCCATAGATAGTTGTCGAACATCACTATCTAAATTTTTTTATTTAATGAAATGCAATCACAATCGGGAAAAGCAATGAAAATCGAGCAAAAAAAAGACATCGGAAAAAGCAATCATTTTTTTTTCGGGTTATTTGTCGGATCTGGTATGAATATACGCAATTTAACGCTGTTTGAATAAAGGTGTGGATGTCGTGCAACCATCCCATAGTGATTAAGAGAGGCTTCTAAACGACGCAAAAGTTCCCTAAAATTCGTTTCGTCAAATTTAACGTTTTCTAGGACGGCAGGATATTTTTTTTGCTTATTGAAACATGTCATAACTATTGCGCAATGAAATGCAATATCTTTCATGTGTTTGTAGTTACGTTTACAATCGATAGTTTCCATAAAGCACAATAACAAGTGACGGGCTGCATTAAAAAAAGCTTTAGTTCTTATTTCCCAAAATCGCTGGAAGTCTTCGAGTGAGTAAACCGCTTTGAGATGATCTTCCAAGTTTACAAATCCTGACATGGCCCATTCTTCTGTTGATTCATCAAATTCGCTAGTAATTTTGAGAGCGCAAGGTATGGCCATGAATGCAAAGAAAAAAATAGAATGCGAATAGTTAGGATTGCTGGCTATGAAGTCGTCCATGATCTAGCTCCTTAAATACTTTTTGAGGGGGGCGTGACTTTCATTTTCTTGACCGGATGTGTCAGAGCAACGATAGTAAAGGGCGGTCCTTAAGATACGGTACCACGCCCCTTTCCCTTTCTCGTCTGGATGGTCCAGAGAAGTCATAGTAAAAGGCGGGCTTTGTTCTAAGGTAATCCGCCCCCTCCTCTCTGTCTCATCAGGAGGGTCCAGAGAAGGCATAGTAAAAGGCGGGTTTACCCTATGGCTCCTCCTTCCAGTTTCTCGTCTGGATATGGGCGGTTTCGCGAAAAGTAACGCCTTCTTTTGGGCTTACAAAAGAGCAGGGGAAAATTTCACGTCGGAAGCCGTCTCAACCCTGGAATTTTTTTCAGTATCTCGTTTTTTTGGTCTAAAGTTTTTGGCGCAGGCTCGTAGTTTTGGTCTTTCGGAAGTTGTCGTTGTTGGGAGGTAGCTTTTGCATATGTAAACCTTTGTACTTTGTAGCACGTTCTACGGGTGGGTTCTTGCATTTTTTAAGTCTTTGCAGTGTTAGGTCGGTTGCCTGGTGGCAGGTGCCCTCTTTGGGTGGCCTTTAACTATTCAGAGACATGTTTCGAAAGGTACAACTGAAATGTGTTGCAACATTGTGGAAATATTGCAGAGCACATGCAAAATGCAGCGCAATATTGGAGGTGCGCAGCTGCGAGGTGAAAGAAAGAAGCGGTAGGGCCCTTCGCCCACCCGTTGTGCATGCTTGATGATGTCGCGTATTGGGCGTCGTAGCAAAAGCTAATTAGAAATATCCGATATAAAAATGTGAACGTGGTTGGTAAAAAAACATGGTGTGCAGCTGCTAGGTGAAAGAAAGAAATTGGAGAGAACACTTGTCGAAAAACGCGCCATAAAACCAACGATACTAGTAGTCATACGTAAGGTAACGTATCATGTAGCCGATTTCTCGAAATCGATCAGCTAGTGAGGAATTTGATTTTTTTCCCTAGAAAGAGGGTCGATAGTAGTTGCTTTTCCACATGAAGACTGGCCTTGAGAAGGCTTGTTAGGTCCGAGACGTTCCGATGGACCTATTTCGCAGTACGTCCATACGTAACGTAACGTATCATGTAGCCGATTTCTCGAAATCGATCAGCTAGTGGAGAATTTGATTTTTTCCTAGAAAGAGGGTCGATAGTAGTTGCTTTTCCACATGAAGACTGGCCTTGAGAAGGCTTGTTAGATTCCGAGACGTTCCGATGGACCTATTTCGTAATGCGTCCATACGTATCGTAACGTATCATGTAGCCGATCTCCGAAATCGATCAGCTAGTGGGAGAATTTGATTTTTTCCTAGAAAGAGGGTCGATAGTAAGGTTGCTTCCACATGAAGACTGGCCTTGAGAAGGTTTGTTAGATTCCGAGACGTTCCGATGGACCTATTTCGCAGTACGTCCATACGTAAGGTAACGTATCATGCTAGCCGATTTCTCGAAATCGATTGGCTAGTGGAGAATTTGATTTTTTCCCTAGAAAGAGGGTCGATAGTAGTTGCTTTTCCACATGAAGACTGGCCTTGAGAAGGCTTGTTAGATTCCGAGACGTTCCGATGGACCTATTTCGCAATGCGTCCATACGTATCGTAACGTAGTCGCGTAGCCGATTTCTCGAAATCGATCAGCTAGTGGAGAATTTCCATTTTCCTAGAAAGAGGGTCGATGGTAGTTGCATTTACACATGAAGACTGGCCTTGAGAGAGGCTTGGTTGATTCCGAGACGTTCCGATGGACCTATTTCGCAGTACGTCCATACGTAAGGAAGCCGCGTATCATGTAGCCGATTTCTCGAAATCGATAAGCTAGTGGAGAATTTGATTTTTTTCCTAGAAAGAGGGTCTTCTTCTCCGATAGTAGTCGCTTTTCCACTACGAAGACTGGCCTTGAGAAGGCTTGTTAGATTCCGAGACGTTTCGATGGACCCTACTTCGTCCAGTACGTCCATACAACGTAACGTATCATGTAGCCGATTTCCTCGAAATCGATCAGCTAGTGGAGAATTTGATTTTCCTGAAAGAGGGTCGATAGTAGTTGCTTATTCCACATGAAGACTGGCCTTGAGAAGGCTTGTTAGATTCCGAGACGTTCCGATGGACCTATTTCGCAGTACGTCCAAGCATAAGGTAACGTATCGTGCACCCGTTTTCGGGAATCGATCCAGCTAGTGGAGAATTTGATTTTTCCTAGAGAGGGTCGATAGTAATTGCCTTTCCACATGAAGGCTGGCCTTGAGAAGGCTTGTTAGATTCCGAGACGTTCCGATGGACCTATTTCGCAATACGTCCATACTTAACGTAACGTATCATGTACTTGTTTCTCGAAATCGATCAGCTATTGGAGAATGGGATTTTTTCCTAGAAAGAGGGTCGATAGTAGCTGCTTTTCCACATGAAGACTGGCCTTGAGAAACATTGTTAGATTCCGAGACGTTCCGATGGACCTATTTCGCAATACGTCCATACGTAACGTAACGTATCATCCACCCGATTTCTCGAAATGGATCAGCTAGTGGAGAATTTGATTTTTGTTAGAAAGAGCTACATAATCAGGTTTAAGTGCAGTTTACCCCCCCCCCCCCACCACACCCGACCCCCACCTACCGTATCTCGGCTCCCTGTTCATCTACGGGTTGTAAAGTATAACAAAATACTCGCCTAAGCAAGACGGAACTGTGGATGAGCAGGGAGCCGAGATACAACAGTTGGGTACCGGCTGCTGTTAAGCTGGAAAGCGAAGCCCACCCCACCCCAGCTAAGAGTCCAGTGCCCAAATTTGCATTCCGAATCGGGTTTTCGGCGAGACGTTTGGAGCTTGCCACGCGTGGCGCGCGTCGCACGCACGTACCTCCACCCCCCCGCCCGCTAACAGTCCAGAACCTAAACAAACCAACCAACTTTCCAACTTGCGAAAAAAATTTCCAAAATATTGTTTTTTTCTGCATAAAATAAGGTCGAGTTGGACCGAAAATTCACACATGAAAATCCGCCGGGTTTTTGCGATTGGTGTATGTTAATGAACATACACCAATTCAGTTCAAATATGGTTAAATTTAGCCAAAATTATTGAGAGTTTTTGCTGTCCAGTTAGCAGGGATTTCTGCACTTTTAGACAAGAATTATTTGACCTAATACTCTAGAATTTTCGAAAATTTTTGTTATTTTTATGTTGTTGTCATGTCTGAAAATTATTTAAAATGCTAAAAAATAGTTTTAGTTTGTTATATGAATCACACGGAAAATTTGGCTCCTTCCACGGTGAGATTCCAGATACCCCCCCCCCCACCCCCCACCACACCCCACCCCCACCGACGGTATCTGGGCTCCTGTTCATCTACAGGTGTCAAAGTATAACAAAATACTCGCCTGAGCAAGACGAACTGTGGATGAGCAGGGAGCCGAAATACAACAGTTGGGTACCGGCTGGGGGGGGTAAACTGTAATCTAACCATGAGCAAGAATTGTGTGCATTTCCATTTGGCGACAAAACTTTGGTACTTTAACCTAGAGATGTTAAGAATCAATTAACAATCAAGATTATTGGCATACACTAGCACAATATTATATTTGGATGGGGCTGAGCGCATGACCAAGTAAAATAATATTATTTGACTCCGCTCGAGAAAGAGCCAAGTAAGATTACTTGATTTACTTGATTTACTTAGTCAAACAATAGCTTTCTGGAATTCTGGCATTTTTCGGATTGTAATGAACTTTATGACATGTTCGCATG